GAATAATACTCTATATAGGTAGTAGGCCTCGCTTAGTGAGTCTATTAATATAATTAATAAGCTCAGCTTTATGTTATAGGTGGACTGTCTGCTGGTTTTATGCAGCTGCTTGTCTGGAGCTAGAAATACCTTAGTGGCGGTGGCTCAGCGTTCCTGGGTTAACACTATATTTTTTTGTAATTTGAGAGTATATAAGCTTTTTATTAGGCTTTAGCGCGTTAATAGCAGTAAGCGCAGCGTTAATTGATTACATTATGGTCACGTTATAGGTGGTTGAAGTGGATAGAATAATTGGTGTTGGAGGACGTAATCCGGCGTTGGCCCGTCCGCGGCGTTGGCCCGTCCGGCACCTCTAAAAAACGAGTGGCGAATCTGCCCAAGCTTGATTGAATGTGATTGATTTCTCAGCAAATGCAACCGCGTCCTAAATACCCTTTACTTGCTCTGAATGCGACTGATGTACAAATTTAATTTCTGCCCACCCTGCCTCTGAACGCGAAACTTCTTACTACCCACCCCGCTTCTACCTGCCCCACTTTGGACGAGCCTCGCGAACCTTGGACTTTCTGCATCCACAGCTTTCACTTTAGCTTCTCCCTATTGAACTCATCCCACAACAAGGCTTTGTCAATCAGAAAGCCACTTTGATCAAACAATACACCTTCTTCCCTCAGCAGCTCCAGTTTCGACTCCTGGTTCTGTCCGCTCGGTGCCTTTTCCCAGTCACCCTTGTAGCCGCCAACAAACTGTATCGGTCAGCACAACTGTCGTACCTCTCGTCGCAGAATGCTTACTCCGGTACTGGCGATGCATCTATGACAAGGCACTGCCGGACAGAATGGGTTGACGCGCAGCGCGCCGCCCACGGCTCGTGGAGAGCTGCCCAGAGCCTTTGCTATAGCGGCATATGTTGTGACGCGACCTTCTGGAATCTGCTGGAGTGCTGTATATACGCGTTCCTGGTATTTGGTAACCTTCTGCTGTAGGGCCATGATGAAATGTACCAGGAATCTACATGTGCAAACCACGCGTGTCTTTCTGGATCAACGCGCAGTCACGTGGCTTGCTTTTAAACTGACCACTCTCAGGCATCTCTATATGACCGGACCAAATAAATGTCGAATCTATCAACGACAATAATACTCGTACAATCTTCTTGGTTGGTAACACTGTGGCTAGGATGTAATTCTTCTTCATCCCAGTCATATCTCTATATTGAAACATACGGGCTTGTCCTAGTGTTAACAGCACAGATGAGCTGTAGAGCCATTCCCGCGGAATGTTCAACATTATTACGAGATGCACTCGGGAAAAAAACGGGTGTATATCTGGAACTAAGCAGACTTCTACGGACTTCCGATTTGATAATGGGTTCCCCCACGAACCGGCTTAGCAGCCAGGTCTATCCTGGATACGCTGGCGGTCACTAACACTTCAGCCGACCGGGTATTCCCAGATCGATGGCAATTGGCCTGTTTGGACATTGTCATAGTGTTTATGGTAAATAAAAAACCCCACGAACTTCCTCAACCTTCCTGAAGATCGGCATTTGCGGTCAATGCATTCGGACCTTGCCGACAAAATATACATATACGCGCGATAAGCTGAGTCACATCGCACAGCAGACTCCAAAGAGCATTACCTCCGATAGACGGAAACTAACAGAGTCGGAAGCGCTCTCGTTTTGCCATACCCCGCACTACTGCCACCTTTACAACCATGGAAAAAATTGTGCTTTGGCGGCTTGACGAACAGAGGGGGCCGTCACAACTAAGTCGCGCACTAAAATGCACGTCGTCATTTCCACACGGTGACCTCAGACGAACTTATTTCCTGTTCGTACCGCGGCGGGCCGAGCTCCACTGGGTCTCACAGGGTCATCAGGTGTTCACAGCAAGTGATTCGTAGACAGTGAAGCAGTCGCGCCGTGCCGCCCTCCCTTTTCCCCCTTCTCCATTTGACTAACGGCTAGAGTCAAAGCACGAATCAGTCCGGGGCCAAATGAGTCCGCTGTGGGCCTCTGATCGTTGTCGTAACTTGACATGTCGACCCAGTATATCATGCGTCCTGCATTTGGGCGGTTAACAACAACTGAGATTTGGCTCCGACACCAGCACCTTGACGGCTAGAACCGTCAAATCTAGACGCAAGACGCCGTCACTATGAGGCAGAAACTTTGCGCTACTTGCAACACTATTATCGCTCCGGCTGTTAGACGTTGGGATGGCTTTACTCAACAGGTCTCTACGCTTTCTTGGATGTCTCAAACTCCAACACCACTCTTGAGAACTAGCGACCTTTGGGTCAGCTCGTTGAACACCCTTTACCGCATCTACCCACGGGTATCGTCTCTACGGATGAGCACATTCAATCCTTGTATCAAACTGGGGCCAGTGATAACGTTAACGGCCAAATTCAGTTTCTCATTGGTCGTAACCCTTCACCAGACCCTTCCCTATACAGTATGGCGTAGTCACATGACCATATAGCTCTGCGGGCGGCCGTTTTTTTCACATTACCAGAGCACGAATGAGCGTCCAAAGCTGGGGTCAGCAGGTGTGGTGGCTTTGGCGCGACCTGGACGGTGGATCGCATCCACAATGGCGCGCCCTCGCTCCGAAGCGCAAGTGAAACTGTCGAGGATAGCAAAAAATACCGCTTTTGCTATTGCAGGTGAAGAAAGATCAAAATCTTCTTTGTGAGTCGAGAGTTGCGCAGCCTTTTGATGCGTTGTCATTGTGGCGAGGGAGATCGACTGCTCAGCCTCAGATTTGCCTGAAGCTAAACCGAATTAAGGCACTCAGCCACACTCCAGCTCTCTCTGGACGGGCTCTCCGGCTTGACAGGCATGATGCCATCGCCTCACAAGCAGATCCGCAGGCACCTGGTTAAAGCATGCAATGGTCACGAGAATAGCAACAAGAGTTGCGAGATCCATTGGGTAACCACTGCGAAAATCGCTCAGAAAGCCATATGACTGTTTCTGCATGGGGAATCCAGCCGCCTGTTGCCCTGCAAGCCCTGATTGAACAGTCAGACAACCCCCTCGACAGGTGAAGGCTTCTCAACGGATCTATTGCTTCGCCAGATTAAGGTAGATGCATACGAGCCGTTGATAGCCATGTCGGTCCTTTCTTGAACTCGATGGGACAATCAATGGCTGATCGTCGCGCAATTTCGAAGGGCTGAAGGTAGCATATGTAGCTGGAAGGGCGAATATTGGCAAATGAGGGCCGTTGCGACGTCACGGCTATTTGTCGACATCTTTCGCTAAGATTCGCATCTCAGCTCCCAAAACAACAGCCCTGTCATGAGACGTGTCTTGAAAAGCAATAGCAAAACGTGAGGCTTGTGGTGAGGGTTGCTGAGCGTTTGGAACGGCATAATGTTGGTGGGTAAAGGACGGACGCGGGCGCCCTGACAGCCAATTGGACTTTTCACTTGGCTGGCGCCGTACAAGGCCTGTTTGCGAATCACCACCCTCCACCACCGCTCAGCAACTCGACTGGCTGTGCTCTCTCTCCAAGCCAAAGGCCTCCACCCACCTATCCAAGCCCAAGCGCCCGCACTGGGCTAGGATGTCGCCGTCCGGAATCAGCCCAATATCGCAAGGCCGCCGGCGTCGGCTCTCTGGAAGATGTGTGCGCATCCAAGATGCGCACGCCGCGAGGTTGTACATATGCAAGCCTACGCACCACGCAACTGCGACAATCACCAAAGCGCTCTTGCCCAACAGATTCCATCACTGAGCTTGCCAAACCACCTATATTGCCGAGAAACTCAGGACTACTTGAAAGAGGCACCGGGACTGGTCCTCCGTTTTGAAGACGGCTCATCCGCGAAAGCCCCACTGAGGCGACTCTCGGTTGAAGCCCCGCGCTAGGACTGTTGACCCTGAGGTAAGAATAGACGGGACGCGTGAGCTGCCTTTGGGGGCAAGAGTATAACACCAGTCATCGTCTCGTTGCTCCCTGCGCGCGTCGTGGTCGATTTTCGTCCCATCTTGCTGTACCCTGGCACAGCCCCATCTCGGGCATTGCCGACTGCGCCACACCCATCACTCGTTTTCGGACTTGCCGATAGATGTGGCATACGAGAAAGATTTTGACAACTTCACCGAAAGTCTGCACGGATACGCAAGACTGCAAGTACCATCTGGCCGGATGACTTATATGGATAGACTTGCAATCTCAGTCATCGTAACAAATCCCCGAATCGCCACCCCCGTCCGGTTAATCTAGCCTTCCCGCCATCAGCCGCACCTCACACCAATTCGCTCCACGGATTCTATCCAAGTTGGCTTTTGCTATCAGTTTCGGAGTCTCGATTTCCGGCTCCCATTTGCCAAACCCTTTTGTCTCAAGCGTCTCACAGAAGGGTAAGCACATGCCTTCATGAGTTACTCGGCGTACACAAGCATCTGTTGTACATCTAGCCGTGCTACACAAGGCTTCCCAAAATGGCTTCTTATAAGTCACAATACCCTCCCTCAAGGAGGGTGGAGGACCGAGGACCCACTACTCGGTTGCCTCAACGATCTATCACACCCACCACAGGCCCATCGCAGCTACCCGCTTCAAGTCACTCTAAGCTGCAGAAGAGGAGGCCTTCAAGAGATGATGAGGTACAGCCCAGAGGTCCTGTAAGCCAAACAGGGTCGGTATCAACATCTAGTATACGCCAAAGAACTACCAGCCGGTCTACGCCTATGTTTCCTCAGAACACAAACGCTACAAGCTCAAAACCAACATCTCAGACGTCGACGTCCCGACTACCCAAGCTCGAGGTTCCCCAAAGTATTCGTACACCTTCGCTCGCATCAGGGTCATCGGCATCAACTATCGAAAGCCCTCGATCGAATGTTCTCCGGAGAAAGCAAGCGAGTTTTGGGGTTGCTAGTGGTCGACAGGCAATACGCATAAGGGACGATTCGATGTCATCTCAGGATGATGCGCAACCGATGGAGGGCATACCTGGTGGCTACAAGGATCCTTTCTCCGAGACTGTTCTAGGGATCTCAATACCACCGACCTCGACAATACTGGCTCGTTCAGAGCCCCAGGCCGAGCTGTATAACAGTCCGCTCTATGATGACGAGATTGGACCTACAGATATTCTTCCTCTTCCGGTCCCCCAATATGCTCTCTCCGCAACCCCATCGACACGTTACTCGGAGTCTCCAGGGCCTTTCAGTGTCTCATCGACCCCTACATCAATGTCGTCCTATTCGCCAGGAACAACACTATCGAGAGCTTCTAACCGGACACGGCAAGCAAGTCCTCTACAGAGTAGACCACCTGTTACTCGACACAAGACTCCAGATGAGATGAACAATCGCCACCCACACGCTCTATCCACAGTCAGAGAGTCCTCGACATCATCGTCATCTGTATCCACTGTCATCACCGAGAGCGCAAAATACAAGGACATGTCGTCACCTAACGCACTAGCCACCCTCCCTCAAAGTCCTCGAACATCAGAAGTGATGCAGAACACAAGTGAAAGACCACAGGCTCAGGCACCTCCCGAGTTCGCTCATCTTGCAAACCAATCGCCTGTTCCAATGCTATCGGCAAGGCGGCCATCAAGACCTAGCAGAGATGGTACTCCAGAGCTATCAGGACTCCGAGGTCCATCGCCAATCATCCAGAGTAACATGCCTCACTTTCCATCCCACCATAAGCGTAGCGCATCGTCCGAATCTAGGATAGCGCTAGCGTCCACCATGAGGTCCAAAACGACCACTCCGGCAAAACCGTCTTCACGGCTTCCATCGCCTAATCCCTCGTCAGCTTTGCCACCAGCCACCCGCTCAACATCGCGTGGACCTACTCCAGATCTCCAGCTTGATAGAACCACCCGAAGAGTTAGCTCTGGACCAGTACCGGCACCAGCCCCAAGCCCGAACAAAACCTCTCGATTCGGATTTTTCACGCGTCGTACCAAGACTGAGCCCGCTGCCCCCGCGAAGTCAGATGGAAAGCTACACCGTAGAGGGC